GACAGTGATGTTGTAACACTAGTTGGAAAGGGAGTTACTGAGGATATTGAAGAGTTAGTTGGAAATGTGTAAGGCTACAAAAATGAGCATGCAACTAGGATGGAGGAAACTAGACAAGACATAGTAAATGTTGTACCTGAGGTAATTAACTACCCTAATAAAACATATTTAAGAATTTATATTACTTGTGTGATGAGATTCTAAATATGGCTAGAATTGATGTGGAGGAATGGATTGTTCAAAAAGCAGGAAGGAAACATAGAGGTGATAAGAATTTGACGACACCATATTTAAGAATTTATATTACTTGTGTGATGAGATTCTAAATATGGCTAGAATTGATGTGGAGGAGGAATGGATTGTTCAAAAAGTAGGAAGGAAACATAGAGGTGATAAGAATTTGACGACACTTGAGGTAAAAAAACATTTTAAAAATTGAGCAACATTCATTTTCTACGGGGAAATGACTACTACTCTTCCTAGGACAATGAGGAGGAGTTTGCATTCCCATTATGATTAACTATTTATTTTGAAATATCAGGGGAGTAGCAGATCTCTCCTCCCATGATGGACTGAAGCATCTTATAAGGATCCACAAGCTATGGGTTTTTGCATTATTGAAACCACTATTTTTTACTAACAAGGAGTAGGTGGTGAAGATATTTAGAAGTTTCAATTTTGTTTCAAACATTAACAATAAAGTTTTGGTATTTTTGAGGAAGTAAATAAAGTCTTAAGTGATGATTGATGATCCACAATTCTTACATATTCTTTTTGAAATGGAAATATTTAGTGGTTGGTCTATTTTTGTCTATGCAAGTAGTATTCATGCGTTAAGTATTGATCTTTGGAGCAGACTGTTGGTGCTAAGCTCCACCATGAATGAGAATTGGTTGGTGGGGGGTGAATTTAATATGATAACATGTAATTCTGAGAAAAAAGGAGGTTGATTGGTTGATCTTTATCTAGTTGAATGTTTTAATGATGCCATCACTGATGCACAAATTTTTTACCCTGGTTATGTGGGTCCTACATTTACATGGAAACGACAAAGAGTATTTGAAATATTAGATCATACTTTTACCAATCAACATTGGTTGTCTCCATATCGTTTTTCAAAGGTTGACCATTTGGTCAGCGTTGGTTAGATCACAGGGCAGTTTTACTTAGTATCTCCTTTACTGATAAACCTATTCACTCCCCTTTTCATTTTCTAAATACTTGGACTAATCATGTGAATTTTTTTTACTGGGTTAAAAAACTCTGGGTGTTTGAAGGTGGTGAGAATGCTTGGTACACATTGTGAAAACCTTACAAGAACACTGAGAGCTTTAAGGGTGTGGAATTGGGAGGTGTTTGATGATCTGAACACTAAGATCAACAAGGCTAAAGAGGAGGTTAATAAGTTAGAGAGTTTAGATATATGTGATGCTCTGGTAAATGAGCAATTGGTTGTGGATCATAAAAATCTGCTTTATTCTATAAAATGTGAGGAGGACCTATTGAAGCAGAAAATGGGAAAATTGCATTTTGTGGAAGGTGATAGGAACTCATTATTATCAACGGATATCATAATTTTTGTAGTTTATTTAATCGAGCATCACGAATAAGTGATAGTCTATTCCTCGAGATAGGTATGTCATTTGTAGCGTTGTGCTCATTCATTTAAACTATTGTTTATATAGGATCGTTCGGTCTCGTATTTTCTAAAATAAAATATTATTTTTGAAATTTAAAATACCATTTTTTTAAAAATCAAATATATATATATATATATAATTAAATTTAAATTACTTCCAAAATATAGATAAAATATAAACGGCTGACAGGTTGCTCTAGCTAGCATGCATATGTGGCAAGTAGGGTTGTCATCGAGTTTCCATATGGGCGTCGAGTCACTCATACCCAAGTGTGAGTCTGATTTTTCTAAGTGATGTTGGGTCTCTCATACCCTAGTGAGCACTGGTTTTTTGGGTGTAGTGATGGGTTTCCAACCTCTTTATTTTGCGCATGGGTCTTATTCAGGAGTTGTATCACCGAGTGGAGCATTGAGTTTTCACCTTCTCTATTTTTACCTGATCAAAAGAAGCTTGTTAAGTGTCAGATTTTCACCTTGAACGTCGGGTTGCCATACCAATATTTATGTTCTTTTTGCTTCAAATGCTGCCCTTTTAACTTGCACTTCTGCAACCTATAAAAATGTGCAGAAATACCCTAAAAAAGCATAAAAATGTTACAAATAACTAAGAAAATACAAATCATAGAAAACAACACCTCATATTTCTTACACATCAGAACTTCCCCAAAAAATTGTAAGTGGATGTTACTACCTTGAAGGTATTCAACATCAATCTCTCGAAGATGACGTTGAATGCACTGAGCATTGACATTGATGATGTCAACCGAGGTCTTGTACTATCTTCTCCATTCCCCAAGGTTATGGGCAAGGCATTCATTTCACACATCTCCTTCATTTCTTTAAGGAATTCGCAAAGTGGGACATAGATTTAATACAAGTTAATCGATAACGAGATCCATCATTTTGAAGACTCTCTTAAAGAGGATGTTAACTAAGCTATAAGTATCTATTAGGTTGTCACTAGTCTAGTAGTCTAAGATTATCATGGTGACTATGATAGCATCATTGAAAGGATTTCCACCAGTAGGAAAATCAACATCTGTAAAGCTGATGAGAGGACAGACTGGCATTGCTCATTTGGCCATAGTGGCTTAGTGGAATTTTTCTGCCCTAAACTGCTTCAAGTAGGAACTTCTCAAGGATTTAATGACATGTATCAATCTCATTAAAGTGGTTTGTTTACTGACATCTTTGACAAGCACCTTTGTCTCTCTTTGTGTGTTGACTTATGGGTCCACAAATTCCTTTAACTTCCCTTATTTTATCACTTCCTCAATTAGATTGTAAAGATATCGACACTCTTCAATATCATGACCATGATCCATGTGATAGGTGCAATATATGTTAGGTTGAAGCACGTAGCTTCCTGCCTTCATCTAGATTGCCTTCTTAAAGAAGTCATTTTTTAAATGGCCTCAACAGCTTTGGCCATCGACACTCTCAATGGTGTAACTTTGTTTGGAGGGAATCGAGGTGGGTTTGACCTCTGTTTTGGTCTTCTTTTAACTATTCTTATGTCACTAACTTCTCTCTCATGTCGCTTAAAGCGCTTATCAGAAGCGTCCAAGAAGTCCTTCCTACCAAAACAATTTCTCAGGTTTCCATTGCTCTTCACGGGGCTGATTATGGAACTTTTTTTTGGACTCACTTGATTTGGAGGAGCCAGGCTGAGAATTACAATCTTCAACAGATATGTGAATTTTGCAAGCTCCAATTTTTTATTAAGGTTATTAGCTTTTGTAAACTAAGTGTGTATCTGAACGGACCTTCACATAGCTCTTAAACCATGGCTGCATGAGTGATAGCACGTTCAAGATCTCAAACTTCTAGCATCTCCCACTAGAGTGAGTGATAAAATTTCTAAGGATTTCTGAAGGCTCCTGATGGATTTTCAAAAGAGCCTGAGATTTATTTGGTGATTTTGCGTGCTGGAAAATTGGGCAATAAATACATGCTTGAATTTCCTGAAGTAAGAGATAAATCCTGCAGCTAAGTTGTTGAATCAGTGCAAAGCTGATTCTTTCAACGCTATGAAAAATAAATGACATTTAGAGTGTCATTTACCCTTAACAATCATCCGCTGACTCAAAAAAAATTACCTGTTCGGTAGGAGTTGACTTTCATTTATAAGATTTCAAAGACGAAATATTGAACTTCATCTTTTCGACTGCTTCCGCAATCTCTCTTAAGAAATTATTTTCCCATGGTTTATGTCTTGTTATTCTTGTTATAGCTTATTTGTTTGAGGATTTAGAAGGCTCTCTCTTAGGGATGTAAGATTCTTCCTTCTCTTCTTCTTCTTGTTCATGTCTCAATCTAAGAGCCCTTTAGGGTCTTGCTCTTTGCAAGTCTCATTTGCAACACAACGTGCTTGACAATCCTTTGTGTTATAGGTTTGCCTGAGAATGTGATCTAGATGTTTCTTCTCCTATTTCTTGTTGGCCTTCAACATTTGTTCCCTTAGCTCATTAATTTGTTGCGCCTTGAACTATCTGATGTAATCCATTCTAAGTCTTCATTCTTTCTTATTCTAAGAGATATTCTTTACAGATTTTGAGCATAACTTCATGTTCACCGCACCTTTTAGAATATTGAATCATTTTAAAACGTAGAGTCGTGTATTGTCTGTGAGTTCATACAACCCGAGAAAGATCATATTTAAAAAGATGCAGAAGAAAATAATGGATGTGTTACCAGAGTTTTTGTTCTTATCCTCTTCCTTGGATCTTTGAAGGATGAAGAAATGATTTTTTTTATAGAAAGGGTTATTTGTTCGAGTCAAAGAAAGAGTCCCCCCTTTCCCTTTGATCCATATACAATAAACATAAGAAAAATAAAAAATATAAAATTACATCTCGACCACTTTGGCAGATGAACTCAACTTGATCACTTTGCCAAGTGGGTTCAACTTGACCACTTTGGTAAGTTGGTTTAGCTCAACCACTTCAACAGGTTGCTTTGATTGGAGCATGCCCATGTGAAAGTCTTGCTTGGGTTTATGTATGTATTTGGGTGGCTGGATGTGCGCGTCTTTGTTTTCAAGAACAAAGAGAATAATTACAATTTTTTGCACCGTAGCTTTCAGTATTCTATAGTCTTTAATAATTTTTGTGAGATTGTCTTCTTCATAAACGTACATTTTACAGTCTTCCAAAGCTTCTAATATATATAGTGCATCATCTATTGCAATTATTCCTCGGCAAAACGTTTTTTTTTTTTTTTTTTGGCCATAAAGAGAATTAATTTCCAAATCATGTCCAATCTTTCTTTAAATCTTCTTTCCATCATAGCAAACAAGAATCAGAAATCCATCGCTCACTGAATGCGCATGTATTTCACTATTCAAATTGGAAAATCTTGCTGAATTGAAGCCACAAATATTTATGCTTTTGTAAAACATAGTAACATACATAGCGACACAACCACGAAACTTAACTTGCTACTAAACAAAGACAACAATATGATGTCCAAAATTAATCACCAAATCCAAAAAACATAAAACAAAGGATAAAACTCTTCAAGCATCCATGCGAATAATGCAGCGGAGGCTATCCCCCTGCAGCATATAGTCAAAAGCCTTGTTGATCTCAGAAAAAGAGACTTCATGAGTTATGAACTTCTCCAGCTCCAGGTCCTACACCCAGTCCAAGTTTTCACTTATGAGAAATGAGGATTCTAACCAAAATGTAACATTTACACAGTACAAAATGATAGAATGCGTAGAAATACCTTGCTCATGTACTTCTCCACGACAGAAGGAATATCAGAGCGGGGCTTGTAGTTTCCAAAGAAGGTTCCTTTGAGTGTTCTTTCGTTGAGGAGATTCAAGGGGTGGGTCTGGAAGACAGCATCTTTGTGAGGCACACCCACCAGAACAGCAACACCCCATCCCTGCAAAATTTTGAAGTTCAGAATTCTGATAATTGGATATCCGGTTTGCTTCATAATGCATGAGAAGAGATTCAGAATAAGTACATCATGAACGCATTCAAAAGCAGAGATCATGGCAGTAATATTCCCAGTGCACTCAATGCTCCGATCAACTCCTCCATTTGTCATCTCAGCAAGCACCTAATGAAACATAATGTCCAAGATTAATTTATAAATATCGCATAAAAAGTTTATAAGATACATAAATGTTTTTCAGAGGTGGTAAATACAAACCTCCTGAACAGGTCTGTCATAATCTTTTGGATTGACAAATTCATTGACACCAAATCTCTTCGCTGCAGATATAAAAAGCAGAGTTTAAGCAACTTTTTACAGTAAATCAGACAAAATCTGAACTTTGATGAGGTAGACTGGGAGCTTATTTGATAATAGATGTATTACCTTCATTGAACCTCTTAGGATTCAAATCCACTCCAATAATTCTGGAGGCTCCAGCAATCCTAGCCCCTTCTGCGGCCTAATCATTTCAGATATGTGTATTTGAAAGTTAGTATGGCTGAAACTAAAAGATGAGTAGTTGATGTCGATTTCAAATGAGTTCATTGTTATGAAGATGGAGAGTTACAGCAAGCCCAACAGCTCCCAGACCGAACACGGCAACAGTTGAGCCTTTTGGTGGTTTGGCAACATTCAGGGTAGCACCAAGGCCTTTAAATTAAGATATAAACAGAATCAGTAAAAGAGTACAGATTTCAGCACAGTTGTGGCCAATTTGATTGGAATTAACTGCTTAAGAATCAATTGGAACTCGGTTCTAGAACTAAAGGTGTATTTTACTATTTAAAGCCATAATAGTGGTATTTTTGATGTGAAAATAACATATTTTGGTGGTAAAAATGCAAAAAAAATAAAGTTTATGAATTTAGTGGTATGTATCTAAATCTTCCAAAAAACAAATATCACCTAAACCCCCTTTACTAAAATGTGCTTTCAAAAATTCAATTCACAAACCTGTCCAAAATGCTTAAAATTTAAAAATAAAAATTTGATGGAACAGTCTGACCTGTCGAGATGCCGCAGCTAAGAACACAAACTTTATCGAGCGGTGCCTCAGGATTGATCTTAGCAACACAACCAACATGAACAACAGTGTACTCACTGAAAGTTGAGGTTCCAACAAAGTGATAGATAGGCTTGCCATTAATGGAGAACCTTGATTGACCATCATTAATCATGACTCCTCTGTCTGTATTGATTCTCAGCAGGGAGCACATATTGCTCTCCTCGGACTTGCAGTGCGCGCACTCCTTGCATTCACCAGTGAAGACAGGGAGGACATGATCTCCAGGAGCAAGATCAGTCACGCCCTCACCAACGCTCTCAACAATTCTGTGATCAACACAGTACAGAAAGAAAGAAATATTGTGAGGATTTGGTTTAGGGAGTATATAAGTTTAGTTTAATTTTACTTTTTGATCGAAGAGGAATTGAGTGAAAAAAAAAAAACTCTTGCTTGATTGATGGCAAACAATGTGTTTTCTATGTTTTTAAGTTAAGGTGAATCTTGTCATAATGTTTCTAAATTCCTCTTATTATTTTTCGTCAGAATTCAGTAAATGTGTTATAATTTTCTTAGTAAATTTAACTACCTCTGATTATGAAATGGTAAGTAGAATGAATTTAGATTCTCTCTAATTCATTCAAACCAAAAACTCCCATGTTGTTTGTAAGAAGAAGATGCCTGCGATAATGAAATAGCGCTATCCTCCAAACACTGAAATCACTAATAAGAAATCTTCTAAATCAAATCAAATTTTTAAAGGTTCAGATAGGTTTGAAGGATTGATGCGCTGGGAATTAAGATTAAATTAAGATTAATAAGGAAAAAGGATCGAAATGAAATAAGTTTTCACTTAATTTTTTGGTTAATAAAAATTGAGTGAAATTTTTCTTTTTATTTGACCGTTGAGAAATTAAGTTTTTTTTCTTTTTTTTTTTTTTTTTTTTTTTGAGAATTGGCTTTGAAAATGGAGAAAAAAATCATATTTTTAAAGTAAATTCAATTGCCTATTAATCATATTGAACTCAAACACCTACTATGAAATTATAAAGTAATTTCCATATGTTAAGAAAATTATACATAAAAAGCATAGGAGATTAAATGAAACGCAAAGCTAAAATGATATATAATTTTGAAACATACCCTCCTGCTTCATGGCCAAAGATCCTCGGAAAGACTGGCGTCTGGCCCTGCAGTTTCAGAACCAACCGCATTAAACATCCATAACCATAAGCCCTTACACTTAGATGTAAAGAAGAATACAGGAAAAATAAAAACTTGATCGCAAATGAAATTTTATGAAATAAAAAAAGACAAACCTTTGCTTCCCAGAAGTAGACATCAGTGTGGCAAAGGGAAGTGAAAAGGATCTTCAGGCGAACCTCCATTGCCTGAGGTGGCGCCACCTCCACCTCTTCGATCACCAGTGGCTTCCCTGCCTCCCATGCCACTGCAGCTGTTCAATGCAATCCAAAACATCAATTTTTTTTTATAAAAAACATTCCTTTTTTTACAAATAGGACCATGATTCTAGTAGCTTTTTTAACAAAACGTGTTTGAGAAAAACAGGATGTTTGGCAGCGCCCAATTAACAGGATTTGTTAGTAGGATGTATTAAATTCAGCCAAACATAAAAAAAATATATACGTTTCATTGATTTATAAAATTTTAGATTTAGAGAATGTTTGATAGCATATTATTAAAAGAATTTAGGCTTGGATTTAACATAAATCCAGCCAAACATCAAAAGAATCAAACTTAAATACAAAGCTAACTTAAATCTAATTGTTTTGTGTTCCGTCGCTTTCTTCTCTGTTTCTTCCAGCATTGAGATGTAAATCCCATAATAAATCTGAAAAAGAGTCGGATTTAAAGGATTTGTTTCCCTGTCAAAGACCTTCATCACCATGAAAGCTCCGTGGAAAAATTTATCGAAGTTGATAGCCAAACACCTTAAGGCCCGAATTTTTCATGTTAAAATTGAATTTAGAAAATCCAAAAGGGGGTGGATTTAACAAATCCGAATTTACTCAATTCTACAAAGGTTGAATCTTTACAGGAACAAAAGGCTAAATTCAAATTTTAAAATGGCAAGACGAACCTCTGCATTTTATAACTTGACCAGCTGTGCTTG